CAGAGATAGGAGAGAGCTCATTATGCTTCCTTATATCAGCCAGATGTCTAAAAGAAAAGATATTTTGATAGGCTAAAATCTTCAGGTCAATTCAAACTATAATGAAATACTTATCAAAGATCATTTAAGAAAAATAGGCAAACAAATGAAAATAATAATGTTGAGCATGTCCTCTATGAGCTGATACACTGTATCTCTGTATGAGAATCGCAAGGGAGTAACATGGCTAGGTATCAAAAGATTTGTCTTGTATTCAAAGTTTGAAGGAAAAGACAACTGAGTTGATTTGAGAATCACATCTAGATACTTGAGAATATCTTTAATCAGAGACCATCTGAATGGACTGGGACTGGGTAACCAAACCTGAAGGTATTTCTAATGAGGCCCCACCTGCAAGGCTATGTGCTGCTTTTATCAAAACCTGCCACCATATCGTACACATACCCTTATGAAACTGGGAGCCATGATGGGTACCTAGGGCTTTGTATATTTGTAACTTAGTATCACCTTATTCAATAATAAGAACAAACATCAGGATTAACATATGAGAAGAAATAAATATAAAATGTTATAACAATACTTTCTTATAAGGGAACATTTTGAATACTCTTACAATTGTTCTTTAAGCCACACTTAAAATTTTTGAGGCAGCAAATTTTTTTTTTCTCTTACACCAATAACACACCAAGAGACTGTGTGTGCATAAAAAAAAAAACTCAAAAAACTGACAAGGAATAATAATAATCCCAAGGCAGAAATATTTATTTATACAAATTAGCTTTTTCTATAATTCATGAAAGTATTAAAATTGAAATGTTCTAAGAATTTTTAACCATTTGAATCATGCAATTTAATTATCTTCATTTTTGCCTCTACATGTTTAAGATTATTTTAGTAAACATTTTTTAATATTAAAGAAGCTAACTGTATTTATTAATGTAGTTTGCATCAAGAAAAAAAATTTCCTTGCACAAACAATAAATGAACAAATTCTTTTAAAAAGTAGGACAGGTCAAGTTAAAATAGGTACACCCTGAAGTAATATTGCATGAAAAGCTGTCAGTGCATTGACATCATTGGTGACAAGTAAGTGTCCAACAGAAATAGATACTACTCTCTGTATGTCCACAATGCATAGGCTTGCTTTAATGGATGTCATAAACTTGCACAATATACAGAGGCACTCACAAAGATTGACTTTAAATACTGACACAATTAATGCAATTTTATAACCAAATGTCATTGTAGTCATGACAATGTGAAGGATGTAGCATTAGAAAAGCTAGCAACTGATTTTAATGATGAATAAAACATTAGGCTGTGATTAAGTCTTAAAAAGTTTATTTTCTTTGCTTCTCTCTCTCTCAGATCTAAATTTACATATGAATAAAAAAAATCACTTTTGATATGTTTTGTGATATCAATGCAAACAGTGCAAATTTGAGTTTACCATGATAGGAAATAGTTACTTTAAGCTGATAGCTGCATACTATTTGCCAGAAGTAAAATACAGGCAGCACAAAAATGTATAAGTATTGTAAAGAAGGAAAGATTCCCAAAAGAAAATAGTCTGAGTAGATTGATTTGGATTTTGAAGTGTTTTTACATTTTTTTTACAGTAATTAGTTTTGATTAAATTATGCAGAATGATTTAAGTTCACACATTTTAATTATTTTCCAATATAAGTATTTTAATTCAATCTGATATATAAAATATAACACTCAAGCATTATTAGTTATTTTATGCTCAACTGACAACACATCATAGTTTATTACTTCATTCACAAATTTTCTTCAAACATTTTCATGCATACAGAGATTGATTAGATGGTAAATATATAGAATTTTAGTAAAAAAAAAAACAAAAAAAAAAAAACAAAATTATTTTATCTAAGCTACCTTGACAGACTTATTTGACTGTATATATCAACTACAATCTCAGAAAAAAAAAAAAAAAAAAAAGAAAAATTACCAATAAAATAAAATATTTCAAATACACTTGAAGGTACACACAAATGGACTATGTAAAATAGTGCACAGATGAGCCATACATGCTGATTATAAATACCATACTCATCAATTTGATACTACTTAAGCTTAAGAGCTTAAATATAAAGAGACAGCAAAGGGAAAACTAAAACTCAAAGCAGTTGGCAAAAAAGTAAATACTTAATGAAAATTAATACAATAACAGAAAATACAATAATTTAAAAAAATAAGTAATCTGATACTAAGAAAATAAGACAAAATTAAATTAAAATGTAGCCAGGTTACACTAAAACCAAGAGAGCTGAGAGAGAAAAAAAAAAGAAAAAGAAAAAGTAAAACATTTTTGATTTCTTTTAAAATTTAAAAAAAATTTTTGAGGATTAAAAAGCTAGCTGCTTAATGGATATCAGTTAATTGAAGAGTTGGGGATGATGGCGTTTTACTTTGAGGAGCTTGAAGGAATTTGAAATGAAAGAATGGAAAATAGAATCAAATTTTGTGACAAGAATAAAAAGAAAATTTGTCAAATTCTTTGACAAAGAGTGTTTTTTTAATGGAAACAGAAACCAAACAAAGAACATGAATATGAAAGGGATTTCATAAGTTCAGGTAGGAGGGAAGGTAGGAAAAAAAAAAAAAAAAAAAGATTAAAGAAAATTTAATTTTTCATGGAAACTGGCAAGAGACTACATGAATGCAGTGTGTCTTTAAGGATTGGAGGAATTGCAAATGGTAGGCAGAGAGAATGAGTAGGAAAACAGCAGATGGAGAGGAAAGTAAGAGATGGGGAAGGGAAGAAAATTAGGAAGTAGGGAGTGAGGTGGTGTAGAGAAAAATCAAGATGGGGAGGAAGGGAGAATGAAGCAGTGATAAGGGTTGGAAAGAGCAATAGGAAAGGGAATAAGGGATTAAGAAAAGACTGAAAGTAGGTGGCAGGTAAAGGAAAGGAGTAGAACAGAAGGAAGGTTGGAAGAGGTTGATGAAGAAGTTGGCCATGTTCCAACAGTGGCAGTATTCCATGGATTTAAAGAAGGGGCCTCAGTAAGGTTGTCACGTGACTACTACTACTACTATTACCAGTACAACAGGCTAGCAAACCCACACTTTGCCTTCTCCTCCTCTTCTTCCCCAACCCATCCATCATACTTCCACTTCACTTTGCTGGGTTATACTAGACACAAGAGCCAAGAGCAACACAGAATTTCAAGTATCTGGCACATCATCTTCAGAAAATATAAACAAGTCAATGGAGAAACAGGCAACAGAGAAACAGCTTGCTGCAACAATCTGCTGTAAAGCACCATGAAAAACAAACACTAAATAAATAAGAAATTATAAAACTTACAAGTCATTAATAAGAAAAAAAAATTCAAAACAAAAAGAAAACAGTAGCAGCAGCACAAATTAAAAATATATAAACAAATCACAACATAAAAATTAATTATAATTAAAATAATTATAAACAAAGTTTAAAATTACTTTGTTCAAATTATGCATAAAAAATAAAGCTTTTTAAAAAATGTTAGAATTTTACTACTTTAACATTTTAATTCATATAAGCAGAATTAAATTTTAGATAAATTATTTTAAAAAAAATATTTGAATAAAACTGATAATTTTTCAAATATCTAAAAAGAATGGCACAAAGAAAACTGAAAAATCTAATTTTAAATATTTATTTGTAAAATATCTTTCAACTGACCAAGGTAGTTTGGTCTATATTTTGTTTATAAATCACAGTAAACAATGTTACAAAAACCCTTGTAGGTTTTTTGTTAGAAGAGATAGAAAATATTAAATTCTTGGTGCTTATAAAGGCATTTTTTTCTTCTTCAGAGAATTTGATTTGAATTCCTCATTTTTATATAGAATCAACATTTTTTTCTTTCACGAAGCCAATAGAAAGTTAATACAAAAAATACTTTGTATAAGAAACAATAACAACACTGGCACCTATATACAATAAAGTAATTAGTATGATGCTGTCACAAGTGATAGAGATCTGCACTTGGAACTCTTTAATAAGATCTCAGATCAAATTTAACTTAGGGTAAATTCTAATACAAAAGAATTTAGAGAGTATAATTGGGGGTTTGGGGAGAGGGAAATTATGTAATCTTATTTTCATACATTAGTTACATATTGAATGACATCACAAAAATATTAACGAAATTAGCTTGCATTCAAAATGGATATTTCATCAACATAAAAATTTAGCTAAGAATCCATAAAACACCTGACTAAAAAAATAGTAGTCTCCCTTGGAATCATGGCAATACTGCAAGAAAATGTATTTGTAAACAACTGTATTGAGCATGCAAACATTTAGACAGGTTTTCATCTTTAAAATCAGATTGGATAATGAAGAAATAGATTGATAACCAATTACATGCAATTTATGCAGACTTAATAAATTCATTAATTTTCAGAGGAAAGATGCATTTTAAGAAGAAAAAAAATCAATTGATGAAATCAATGAATTATTCTTACACCTGATGTGACCTTAATTGTGGAGTGAATAGTTATAAAAGCTAAGAAATATAATTTAGAAAAGTAATAGTATGACATTATTCATAAGCAAAAGCATTGGAAACAAACAATCAAATCACTTAGGAAGATCTGATCAACCAAGTTATAGAGATGAGAAATGTTTGATTTGTTCAGTAACATTTCACTGTGTTACCATCATGTTTACAATTCATATTACAGAAGTAACATGCATTACAAATAGAAAAACAAATAGAGTGAGTGATTTATTTTTTTTTATATAGAGTATCAACCTTTTGCAGGTTATTTAAAGCCAGAAATATCTTTAGATTCCAAGAATTTTCTAGGGATAATGATTTACTGAAACAAGTACTACTAATTAACCCATAACTGGAGGGAGAAGAGGTAGATTCATACCTTTCTCAAGAATATAGCCAAGTATAACAAACCCAACTCAAATTGGAATTTGGCTCTTCAATTTCCAATTCTGAGTTGTTATCCATTAAACTACCTGCATACCCAAGCTTGCAGCACCTGGTATTCCCAAGTGGTCACCCATCTTGGTACTGGCCAGGCTCGATGTAACTTAACTTTGGTGATCATATAAGAATCTGTGTTTCAATGTGATAAGGATGTAGGCCAAAAACAAATAGAATGTCTGTAATAAGAATCTTTTCTACAAGAGCTAGAGAGATTTTCTATGACCTACACATTTCTCAAATTTTTCTGAATAAAGTGTTTGGTACAGAGGAAAAAAAAATCTGAGTCAAATATAAGGTTTTGAATGAGTTTAAGAATCAAACTTTACTGACAGCTCTCTAAAGTGATCAAATTCATGTAAAATTCTTTATTCAGGAAATCCAAGCATTTTACATATACAGTCTTGCTGAAATCAGCTGATGTGTTTTGATGAGTAGAAAATGCACCCATCACACACATTTTGATTCTTATGCATGATTAGTATATTTAGGCCTGAGTGGATTATGTTATTGATAATATTCTAAGACAGTATGGCCAACAAGGATTAAATGATTGAATTATCAAGTATAAAATTTCTCATTTTTATCTAATATAGAAATATGTGTATCATCAATGCAGTAAACTCATTAATTTTATTTTTTTTTAAAAATTTATTACAATACATTTTAGAAATAAATAATTTTTTTTAAATAAAGACAGAATAATTATAGAATCAATTTACTACAAAGTTGAAAAAGTGACTAATTAAACTCATGGAAAGGAAGAACTTCATGAACTTTGAAGTTAAAAAAAAAAAAAAAAAATCACATTCAACATTATTCTGTTGTTCTTCCTCAGAAAAAAAAAAGAGGATTAAATATATCCAAAACCATTTGCAGTCACAGCCCAGACTGTGCCACTTCAACAAGCAAAACAAGATCATATGACATCATCAACCTATCAGGAGTGCATATGTCACCATGACTAAAACCAACTGCAAAACAACATGACTGAATTTTATTTAGTGAGCACTAAATAGACACAAGGTTATTTGACAAGCAAAAACAGGATGCTGTAGATGTTAATCCAAAACATTTGTATGGTGAGTGTAATATCGGATGTTTCTGAAGAATTTGGGTCAAGAAACTTTCATAGACAATAAAAGAAAGCAAATTAGTAAGACAAGGCAGGTAGAATTGATAGTCCACCCCCCACCTTTAGTCATCTACCAAATCCCTTTTCTTTCTTCCTGCAAAGTATATGGTAATGAGCATCTTGACAGGAAATTTTAGGCTATAATCAAAATTATAAAAATTGATGAACAGTGCTATTTAAAATTATAGATTCCTTTTTAAAAGGAATATATTTTTCTAAATATATAATACTTCTAATGAATATTTTGATATTACACACACGAACATAACTTTATTCATAATCACTAACTACACTAGCATATTTTAAGAGAGCAATAAAGCATACCATTAAAACCACAAGCTTTTATTTTTAGCTAAAATATACCAGAATCTGATCATTTTGTGAAAAAATGAAATCCACATCACTTCAATTGTAGTTTTTTTACTGCAAATCAGTCAAAGTAAATATTAATGTGATATGAAGCAAATAAAAATATCATTTTGGTTACTCAGTGAGGAAGACGAGTCAAGCCTGAGATTAGGTAAACTTTTTTTCATATTTATTACACTAGTAACGAATTTAATCAGTAGTATTTATCACAAAGCATTCTAAATGAAGGACTGAAAATAAATATAAATGAAGTGAAAATTACTTAACTATTGTGAAATTAGTATTATCATCAGCAGTCATACCCAGCTGGTCGATCAGAAAAAATATTCAATTAGAATGGAGCAAAAACAGCATCATGTTTAGATGTAACAGAGTCTATCTTCTTCAATTACTTTAAAGTACTTTCATTAAAAAACATTTTGAATTAATGCAGTTACTGATATAACAGAAGTAGTCTGTATTTATTCAACTGAAGTTAGATGAGGATATGAATGGGTAAAACAGGCAACATGAAGACCCACTTCAGACCACAATTATTTTGAAGTCTTTAAAATTCAATCTGTCAGTGTGTTACCAGGTATGTAAAATAGGATACATTTATAAAGCCATTGTTAAGTTTGATGAAAATTGGTTGAAAGATCAACGAAAAATAAATAAACTAGGAAAAAAAAAAAAAAAAAATATATATATATATATATATATATATATATATATATATATATTTAGCCATTTTCTTCTATTACGAAATTTTCATTATATGGGTAGACTCAATTATGAAGTTAAATGATTGTTAAGCAATCAACTTATTGTTGGCTACAATTGAGTGAAGTTTGTATTAGATTGCTTGAAAATTGAGGGAGTTTTTAGTTTAAAATTTGTGTTGAAATCAACTTTGTAGTTTTTTTCCCTAAACGCAGTGGCATAGAAATAAAAATTAGGTATCGTCAAGCTTGTCATGATGTAATTAACCTACATACTGAATTTGAACGAAATTGGGGGAAAAAAGTTGAATGTATTGATTCTTGATCAGCTTTATCGATTGATTTTTTTAAAAATTATCGATTTTTTATGCTAAGAACCTATCTCTTACATTATACAATGTATGTGACAACTTTGATTAAAATCAGTTGGATGAATCCCAAGTGAAAAGGTATCACACAGATACACAAACATTCTGTTTTATATATATAGATTATACATGCAAGTACTTTAATGTTTATTTTTTGTTATTGTTTTTATCACAATGTTTCAATAGGTTCTTTGATTTTCATAATGTGTATATGATATCAGGTAGCATTTGAATGTCAGTCAATGTTTTTTAAACTCTTTTCCATTTCAATTAACTAATCTGAACGACAGTCTTTCGCTCACGTGAGAAAATGTCAAGGTAGAATGTAAAAAAAAAAACAAAAAAACTACTAGATGTAAAATAATCATATACTGATTTTTTTATATAGAACTTGATCAAATATTGTTCAACTGAAGACTAACATTTTCCTTATTTTTATTTTTTCATAGCCCCCTTTTTGATAAACATGCACTGCTTCCTTCACTTTATGCAAGTTCCAGGATGATATACTGTCTATTACTTTGACTTGAATTTTTTTCCTTTCTAATATATTCTGCTAAATGTGATTTTAGGGTTTACATTCTGTATCATTGTTCCTTAATTCCAATTATTCACAATTGCATTAGAGGTCATCCACTGCTTTTAATTATAAGTCAAGATGAAAGACCATAAAATATTTGCATTTTTCAATAATCTCTTACATAAGATAGAACCACTTTTGTTTATTACAAGAATGTTTATTAGCAGATCCTAAAATAGGTTGCTGAGTAGTTATTTTCTTACAGTGTATTACATATATAGGTTAATTCTGGTTGTAAATTAATAGAGTTACTATTCATGAGTTTTACTTGATGTTACAAGCAACAAACTATTTTTCTTTATATAAAATGAATAGTTGGGATTAAATATTAAGTATAATTTTAAATTCACATTCTGTTTAAATCACTAGGACATCTAGGAAAGCAATCTAATGTTTTTTGCCCATAGTGCTTTGTATTGAGGCTTTAATGAAGATGACATGATCTAAGAACATTTGTACATTCTGATAGAAAAATTGTAAGATGGTGCTGCCTCTGTATCTGATGAAGATATCAACCAAAATGATGAGATAAAAGCAAAGATTATGTTGGTTCTTGTTCAATTGCTTAACTTATTAACCTTATTTGACAGATTTAAACTAGTACTCTTAAAAATCAAGCAGAAACTACGTAGATTGTTAGATTTGAGAATCAAAATGGAGCAAAACCCCATTGACATGTAGAGAAATTCAGAGTGGTTACTTCCTTCATACTTTACTCTTTCGAACTAAAATTCTACACAAAGGAGCAATGTCCACTCCGATCTGCTGCAAGTGGGAAAAAAAAAAAAAAAAATATATATATATATATATATATATATATTACTAGCAGATACTGCATCAGTAAACAAAAGTCAACCACAAACGAACGGAAAGCCAGTAACTAAATATTCCAAGTTGAGTTTTAACCAAAAACTATCTAACTATATAATTACAAAAAGAATGGATTCAAGCTATAAAGAAAATATGAAAAATGATAAAGAAATTATAGCTTTATGTAAATAAATATATAAGAACATTTCATTAAATTTTATTTCAACGTTAATACCTGTTTTTATTTACTTCCCCCATATATTTTAATAACTTATGAAAATTAACTCATGAGTTTTGAATGATGAATGTTTAAATTCTAAGTAAAATCAAATTCTAGAGTTAATAAAACCTACAAAAATGACATAAAAGAAATATTAAAAAAAAAAATTAAATCAAGATTAGATTAAAACAAACAGATAATTAGTAATAATGGCTAACTGTACAATGCAAAAATTTTGCTTCAAATTTGTCAGTCATATATTAGAACTCAAAATATGAAAACTACTTTATCTTGAATGCTAAAAATACACAAAAAGTTATTTGCTCTTAAAACTGAACATTTTCAGGTGATAATTTGACAATACTTTTTTAATAAGTAAAAAAGGGAAAATATAATCTATGATGTAAAAATATAAGAATATCTTCTGAATGCCCAAGAAAAAAAATAAAATTTTGGCTAAAAATGTTGACAAATTTCTCTGAAAACCAGATTAAGATAAAAAGAAGTCTCAATCTATTTCAATGGTAAATTCCAATACAGTGTTAAACATGGGAGTCAAACTAAGAAAAAAAAAATAAAAGGAAAAGCATAGATATAGAGTTGAAATTGCAAAAGAGTTGTTCAAATGATTGAATGAACTATTATTTCTACTGATTCCTTAACAAGTCTGCTAGTACATTTGCCATTGTCACTGTTTTGTGTAGCAGCAGTTCTACTAGACAGCTTTTTCCTCCCTTTCTTTGGCTTGCTAGCTGAAGATGATGGCAGAGTGGAAATACTACAAGAAAACAACACCATGGTAGAGGCAAGCAAGAATTACAGTAGAATGAGCAGCCCAACTATTTTCTTTCTTAATCCAATTCCCAACAAGCAAAAGAGAAGAGAGAAGGATAAGAGAGAAAAGAGAAAAAGGAAAATAGATAACATACAATGAAAACATTATCTCTAATAAGTAGAAAAA